TAATTTTAAAGACAGTTTACAGAGACTTTGGATTTCCATTCATTCATTGTTGCACTTTTCTCCTGCCCAAATTCCCTGCCTCAGTTTGCTCTTCTCTTTGAAAACAAAAATATCTTTCATTGTTATAAAATCCCTCCCCCCAAGTGCACTCAACTATGCATCCTTCTGGATTCCTGTCATGACAATAATACCTAGTCATATATCCCTTTAAATAGTTCTCTTCCTCATCTGTTTCAATGCAGTATACTTAATTTATCCCAAACTAGGCTATATGAAGAATATCTAACAGGATTGGAGGAAGACAAATTAACATGATACATAGATTATGGCATTTTGCTTGCTGAAAGCAAAGAGGACTTGAAGCATTTACTGATGATGATTAATGTTTACAACATTCAATATAAATTACACTTCAACCTGAAGGGAAAAAAAAATCCTTAGAACTGGACCAGTAAGTTACATGATGAGCAGAAAAAAATATTGATTCTGTCAAGGATTTTATTTTACTTAAATCCACAATGTCCATGGAATCAGCAGTCAATAACTGAAATGCTATATTACATTAAGTATGTACACTTCTGCAAAAGACCTATATGAATGCTAAAGACCAAGAATGTAACTTAGAAGACTAAGGTGCAGCTAGTCCAAACTGGTATTTTCAACTGACTCTTGACCTTGTAATGCTGAGCATCGAATAAGGAAGCCCAAAGTAGCACTGATGGCTCTGAATTATGGTACTGGTAAAGAATTTGGAATATACCGTGAAATGTTGTTGTGTGCTGTTGAGTCAGAAACAACTCATACATAACCTACTATAGCAGATTTTTCAGAGGTAGGAAATCGCAGGGAGGAGACTGCCCATTCTTCCAGACAACAGTTGGTGGATTTAAACTTCATGCCCCTGAGAGACCTTCCAGTGAACCACTGAGCCCAAGGAACATAGAGGAGCTAGGGAATTGAACAAAGGAGGGGCTGTTGAGGTCAGAAACCATGGAGTCATCCAGCAACTCAAGCATTTGGGACAACATTGACCCAGCACTTTTATAACTGGTTTTCTACTAATCTTAACAGAATGAATTATGATTGAAAGGACTGTAAGTGATGATCTGCAAACCCACAGTCTGCCTTCCTTATTGGTTACTTAAAAGAAGTTCTTTCCCCTTTTGTGTTTTAATTTCCATTTTTGTTAAAGCAGAGCAGAGGTGTATTTTTTAAAAGGCAACCTTAGAACAACAAGAGCTGAACAAACATGATACTATGAACACTCAAGTACTTTCTGAATGGATGTATAGAAATACATGATATTATCTGCTTCAGTGTAGTAGAGGCTACCTCAATCTCTTCTACAGAATTCCTATCCATCACCTCTCTTTGATTACCTCCAGATATATTATTGTTAGATATCATCAAGTTGAATGTAATTCTATGATCCTATGACCCATAAATCATAACCCTGTTTTATCCTCTACCATCCTTGGGATCTCCAGTATACTTGACCCCATTGTTAGAGTCACTGTGTTAGCCCATCTTGTTGAGCATCTTCTCTTTCTCTGGTAGCTGGCGGAAGCAGTCATGGCCACACATTTCCTGGGAAGGGAAATAAATTCTGTCCAGAAACAAAACAAAACAAAACAAACAAAACAATGCCTGTGTGCCCTTGGTGAGCTCTGGTGGCCTAGTGTCAAGAAGCTACACTGCAATCCCAGAGGTACATGGTTTGAATCCACCAGATGTTTTGCTGGAGAAGGAGAGACAGTCTCCTTCCTCCTGTACCAGTTAGATCAGATTTGATGGTACACACAAAAAATAATAATTTTTTTAAAACCCCAAAAACAAAAGAAAAAAACAGTGTGCCCTTGCAGTGCAGCTTCTTACCACTAGGCCACCAGAGCTCCCTATGCCTTTACAAAACAAACAAACAAACAAACAAACAAACAAATCAACTACATCTTGGAAATCATACAGCTAGAAATCACCTTAGAAGTGAAGATTAAGAGATTTTATTTCACATTCTTTGGACATGGTTTCAGTCCTTGGAGAAAACCATCATCCTTGGTAAAATAAAGGGGCAAAAATGAGCACAATAGTCAATGAAAGGGATTAGTACAGTGGCTATCACAGTAAATTCCAACACAGCAACAACTGTTGAAGGTGGCACAGGACCAGGCATGGTTTTATTCTGTTGCATAGCTTCACTAATAAGTCAAGACATTTGCGCAAAGAACATGAAAACAGCCCAAATGTCCAATCACAGTCAAATGAGTTGAGAAATTATGGTACAGTTACACAATGGAATACTACACAGCATGTACAAGGAATGATTTTGTAAATCACTACCTAACTTGGGAGGGACTGGAGAGCATTTTGCTAAGTGAACTAACCCAGTCTCATAAGAACAAACACTGTGTTAGATCATTATTGTAGAACATGTATGAGGATCCAAGGAGGGGAGGGTGGGAACAGAGGGGTGAGGATGGGTTGGGGGTGGGGGGTGGTGGTTAATCATAGAGTCACACAATTTGATAGGTGGAGAGAGGGGTGGGTACAGGAAATGGGAAAGATCTGGTATAAAAAAAATGTATATGAACTTTGTAAGTAAACCAGTATAAAATAAAAATTTTATTTTTTTTAAAAAAGACATTTGTGCAAAGACTTGTTTAACTTCAAATCCTGAGTTTTTTTTCTTTGTCTCATACTATAAACTATCTGAAAAGAAGAGCAAGGTAGATGAACCCATATGATATATTGTAGCAGTTCCCTAGGTATTTTTTATTTTAGTAACAATAAAAATCCTGGTTTGCCAACATCTGGTCATGGTGCCAGGATTTTTAGCTTCTCCAATTCTTAAGAACACAAAGATCACTCCAATTTTATTTACTGTTTCTAGAGTTCACCTTTTAAAACTTTTATACATGTTTTATAAGGAATCTACAATGATTAACAGTATATGTATGCTGCAAAGTATCCCATCTGCCTCAGAGGAGATGTGCTTTTTAGTCACAGAATATATACTTTTTATAGTTATTATCTATTTCTTTTACTGCAAAAGTTGTCAATTCTATGAGCCTCTGAGCTCCAACAGGAAAGCATGTGTGGAATGTGCTCAGGAGTGTGAAACTTCCTAGGATTGTTGGAATGCAAGAAAGGCTGTTAGGAGGGGAAGAAAATCAGCCTGGACAATCAGGTCAGCTGAAAAATGGACATGTGAAAAGAACGATGATGTCCTAGGCATCAGATCAGCTAACAAAGTCAGCCTAAAGTCCACTCTTGAAGTATTGCTTAGGCTGGGATAAAGACAAAGCTTCATCTCACATATGTTGGCATGTTAGGAACAGGCGCTTTCTTGGAAAGGGACATCATATTTGGAAATGTGAAGGGTCAAAGAAAAAGAGGGAAAACCCCAACAAGATGGATTGACACAGTGGCTGCAGCAATGGGCTCGAGTGTGTCAGAGATGATGAGGATGGTGCAGGACAGCACAGGGTTCAGGTGTGTTGTTCATTCGGGCGCTCTGAGTCTTACTCAATTCTATGGCACCTACCAACGACAGCTGAGAAGTTGCCATCAGTTCTCAACAATCAATTCCATTTACCCTTCTCAGTGTTGGGCACTGATTTTCCTCATTTCGACTCTGCGGTCATGGAGTAGATTCTGCCATACACATTTTCATGCTCTCAAAAACGCCAATGACCCTTTCAAACCATAGTAAGTTTGAGCTTATGGTCCACTCTCACCTTTTTCCTGAAACTTTCCAGAAAGAAGTAGTCAAGAAACTGATCTGGTTATACCTGCTAATTCACTGACCAGAAAGATTGAGCTGACTTGCCTGGAACAATTTTCACTGTTATTAAGAAGTGCAACTCAAGTGCCTATTTACATGACTGGCACTGTGCTAGATGGGAAGAATGCCATCATCTACTTCTCAACTGCACCTAAGTGCATATTATGACCTTCCAATATAGAGAATTGTTACCTTTTGACCTACAGTCTGTAAGTAGCTGGAAGAAGTCTATTAACAAGTCCTATGTGGAAAACTGTTGTCATTCTTGAAAGGGAATCATGCTGGGGAAAGTGGAAGGTCAGAGAAAGAGGAAGACCCTCAACAAGATGTATTGACACAGTGGCTACAACAGTGTGTTTGAGCATGACATTGAGATGGTGAGGACAGGGAAAGGTTTCTACATGTGGTTCTTAGGGTTGCTATGAGTGGTAATCATCTAGATAGTACCTAATAAAAATAACATACAGAAATGCCTCCTTGATGCCTTTCAAGGTGCAATTAAAGGAGGCATACCAAAACATCATCACCATTCAAAGGTTTGGCAGTTTGTTGAGCGCTTGGGGGTTAACAATCTTGACACTTATTCATTGAAAAGGTATTTTAACTGAAAGGAGAATTTAGATGCAGCTGATTTTGATTCAATCAGAATAAAACATAAAGTAGCTCTGGTGGTCTCGTTATTCATAATTCAAACTCCCACCTCAGAGCAGCATTCTGAGTATATAGGTGTCACATTATATTCAGTTATTTGAAAGTGTATAATGTTGATGGTTTTGTCTTTGAAAAGAGAAGGAAGGAGCAAATGTTTCCATGACATTTCAATGGCTATGACAGAACTTCATGCAATGTTCAACTGAGTTAATACTGAGAAATGACAAAGCTACCTTCTTTAGAATAATAATATTTTTTAAAAATCTCCCCTTCTGCTACATAGATTCAGATCCATAGCAATCCAGCAGGACAGAGTAGAACTGCCCTATAAGTTTTCCGAGGCTATGACTTTTCATGGAAGCAGATTTCCTCACCTTTCTCCCTCACAGGCACCCAGTTGGTTTGAGTCCTTGACTTTCAGATAGTAACTGAGTGCTTTAACCATGTGGCACTTTAAATTGTCTTTAGCATGTGGAAGAAGTCAGACATTGCTAAGAGGGAAAGCACAAGAGGGGATGGGAAGTTTGTCCTGGCCCTGAGCCAGGTGGCTGTACCCTCCTTTAGTTACCTGAAGGCAGCACTTTGAATGACATGTGCTGTGACTCAGCTGATCCTTGGTTGATCCACTTGCTTGGGTTTCCACGCAGCTGCCATTCTGTCACCCTGCACCAGTATATCCCAGCATCTTTCATCACTACCTGGTACAGCTTCAGGACAAAGTCTGTGGGGGATGAGCGGTAACAGTGCAGGCGATCTCTGAGCCCCTCATCGCTATACTCCAGCATTCCGTCATGCTTCAGGTGCACCAGTATTTTACTCCCAGAACTTTCGTTTTTCTCAGAACTTTCTCTGAACCACACGGAAGAGAAGAGGGAGGCAGAGCCTCCTGAACCATCCATGCTACAGCTGAAGGTCACTTCCTCGTACTCAGTGCTATTTTCTGGCCAGTCCACTTTAGAAATCTGCATCTTACTTTCTAGGAAATAGGATTATCAGTAAATCAGAGAGGAAATTGGACGTTCAAAGAGATACTCTAGCAAATCTAGTAGTTCTCACTTGAGAGATCTGCTCTTATACCCTTTAGATAACAAGTTCTTCATCTTTATAACTCCCTTGATCTCTTCTTGTCTTTCTTTGACATTTTGTCACCCTAACCCAAAATTCTCTACTATGAATCAGCCTAGCTACTTGTCTTTTCTACTCCTAACTCTAATCTGTGACCTGCCATTGATAAAGTCACAGATCTCAGTAAATCCTCTATGCTGCTTTCTTTCGTTCTTCCAGGCCAATAAGCTTTCCTACTTTCAACACGTTGCCGCACACTTTTAAAATTTACGACCGTGCTTAGAAACACACTTGCCATCATTTGCGGCAACGTATTAAGAGACTATTTAGAACTTTAACGCTTACCCTGAAGTTGCTTTTTCAACACTTATCTCTCATTATTAGCAAATTCATTTTGTCCCAATACACACAGGCATCATATAATCTAGGTATAACTCAATTCCATCAAATTGGAACTAACTCATCGTTAACTCTCCATTTGGTTATTGAGTCTGTCTTCCTCGAGCTACTGGTGACTTTGAACTGCCAGAGAGGTCTTTGCGTTAATTACAACTTAAGAGCTAACCACCAGAGGGTCCTCCTAGGTATACACATAGGTAAAGAAGTGGGTGGGTGGGAGGCTGAACATTTCTTCACAAGTGCTTGTATACCATGTAAGGGACGATTTAGTTACTGGATCAGATAAATTTTTAACAGATTTTGACACTCACTTTTTTGTTCTGTTTCTCTATTAACAGTCAGATTGGAATTTGTAAGGAAGGTCAGAGTAATTGTAAGGGAAATATATATATAAAATATTTTTTACAAATTCATGACAAATTGACCAACGTATGTTTAAAAGAGCAACTTTCTCTAACCGTAGATTCTTTTCATTTACACTCCCTTTTTGCATAGCAAATTATCTAAAATACTGGCTTATATAATACTGCTTTAGTTTCCTTACCTCAAATTACTCCCTACTTTCCAAGAATCCACTCTAGCAAAGCACTGCACTCTAGCAAAGTTTTCCTAGCAATTACCCATCCTAAGGAACCCTCCAGACTTATTTCTTGTTTCTGTGGTTTTCATAATTGACATCTATTTTCTTGAAATCCTGTCCTCTTTTGACTTCAGAAAATATTTTCTTCTTATAATTCTGACCACTTCTTCTCAGATCTTTTCTCGGAATCTCCTCCTTAACTTACTTCCAAGTCAGAGCCAAAACAAGCCTACACTTAACAATTTTTAAAAAATTGTAGTAAAAATGTATATAATAAAACAATTTGATGAAAGATGAGACTGTCTGCTACCACAAAGATTACCAAAACATTTCAACATTTCACATGGTTAGCCCAGTGACATTAATTATTTTTACCCTTTTCTTCCACCACAGAAATAAATCTTTGGTTTTGTCCTCTCAGTATTAAAAGAGTTTTAACTTATTATTAATATTCTCAAGGTGGAGTATAATTTCAAAATATTCTAAGCATATCTTGGTAACCTAAAAGATCCCACAGCACCATGCTCACCTTCCTACTTGAGAAGCACTGTCCCAAAAAAAGGCTCTGTCCTCCCATCAAGGTGCATATATATCCCACCAAGATTTTAGTTGGGACAACTGTATGACCACAGCATTAGTCACACACATGGAAGGAGCATACAAACTACAAATATGATTTGTGAGATGACAAAGACAAGATGATACATAATACATACAATTAAGGACAAACTAATTTTGAAGGCTGCTAGGTGATCTAAATGGAATAGACAGTATATATCCTGCTATAATATCTATTGCTTGGAATACTAGTGTAGAAATTCAAAGACAGAATTGTCTGCTTGAGGGCGTAGTTAAAACCAATGTAGTTTGGTTTCCAGAACAGCATCGAAAAGCAAAGAACTGGTGGAACACTATACAACATGGCTAAACCTGCATGACATTATGTTGTCACAAAAGGACATAAACTGCATAAAACTGTTGTTATAAAATAGGACTGACACAGGGAGGTTGGGGGAGGGAACAGGAAAAGAGTGGCTAGCTAATGAACACTTTACGGGAACAGAAGAGGGAAGGCCTGTCTCAATAAAGCATAAATAGACATTCTTCTGGAATTCCCTACTTTCAGCAGCCATGATCGATCTAACATCACCAATGATATCCCTAGTGCCACAGTCAGAAAAGAATGTATGATTAGGCATTATGTGTATGACAACTAACAATCTGGGAGGAAAAGACACATAATCTGCGTTATGCAGATGACACAACGTTGCTTGCTGAAACTGATGAGGACCTGAAATGTTTGCTGCAGAGGCTCAAAGACTGCAGCCTTCAGTATGGATTGAGGCTCAATGTCAAGAAGACAAAGATTCTCAACACTGGAACAATTGGCACTATCAGGATGGATAGTGAAGAGATTGAGATTGTTGACAACTTTAGTCTGCTTGGCTCCACAGTCAACATTCTTGGCACCAGTAGCCAGGAAATGAAAAGACATATTGTGATGTGAAAGTCTGCTGTTAGGGACCTTGCCAGAGTACTGAAGAGCAATGGTGTCTCTGGAGACTAAGGTG